TGCTGAAGCCACCTTGGCAGCCATGCACCAAACCTCTCACTGGGAGGGAGAGAAGGGGAGTGGTGACAGCACTGTGGTTCAGTGAGTCAGCTGCTCCCCACAGAGGCAGGAACCAGACTCTGTGAAATGGTAATTATCCGTTAGAAAAAACATTGTATTTTACACAATTTCGAAAACAAAAACCCAATGCCTGGGCAGACTCTCAACTCACATGTGTCTATGCTCAATAAAGGTACACGAAAGAATCATAAAGTGGTCTTTTCAAAGGTGATAACGTATGTTCTTTAAACCAAACACCTACACACATGGTGACTGAGTTTGAGTCAGAAGTATGCTACAGAATCCCATTTCCTCCCCCTGATTTTACATCGCCTTTGCAGCTCTAGGAAAGAGTATTAATCTGCAACACAAAATGGTCTGCTCCATTCCTGCAGTATCACATCATTCAAACTATTTCTCGAGCCATTTTATCAGCTTGGCTTCCATTGTTTCTCCCGTGATAAACTGCACTTTGATTTGTTTCTTTATTTTATGGAGTGCGGAGTCACACCGATTTCCTTGTCCCGGTTCCATTGGCTTCCTGGTAGTATTGTTTGAAGTCTCCAGACCTGATGTGTAATCCAACTGTTTCCCTAATATGTGGGAGGCAGAAAACTGCTTGTTTACGTCAAACACAATTCTTTCTACGGTTTTCCTTTCTCTTCTAGTCTTTTCCCATGAATATTCTGGCAGGGCCTACCCCATGTTCCAGGGCACAGCATAAACCCAGCAGACAGCGAGCATTCCAGAAGTGTTTGTTGACTGAATGGGGTCGTTAGGATTGACCTGGAATATAATACTGACCCCACCGAGTTAAGGTTCAAATTCGCCAGCAATCACACCAGCTTGTTCTCCTGTTTGCTTCTTGTCAGGGTCCTCAAGGTGTCTAGACCAACTTTCTTATTTTTTCAAACTTTTCTCAAGTCCTCTGTTCTACCCACACCTCCCAGCATTTCACAAGATAAGTGGTTCCTCCTTCACTATAAAGATCAAGGTCACCTGACGGCACTCCTTCATCAGCCTGCTTCCTTCCGTCCCCCTGTACGCCTCCTGCCCCCTCTCGGACCCCCGGCACTGCTCTTGCTTGTGGTAACCCACTCACCTGGGCTGCTATCTCCTCCCTTCACTACCTTCCTTAACTCACCACTTCTTTGCAGCTTTTCTTTCTCTTTCTAGCTTCCTCTCTTTATCTGCTAATAATGAAATCATCTATAAATAAAAGACCAATTCAAATCTATGTTTTTTTTAAATAAAACACCCTATCTGTGACCCTGGAAACACAGCTCTGTCATTTGCTGTCACTGTGAGATGTTTCCTTTTTGGAGAATCACCCTTTCATTCTGTCTTGTTCCCCTGCATCCCCCCAGTGCATTTTCAAGCACACTGCAGGGCTCATTTGGCCCCCAAACTCCTCCACAAATGTTCAGAGCTAAGATCCTGGCTTATTATTAAGCAGGCAGCAATGTGGAGGTGGAAAGAAGAGAAATACTGGAGGCGGGAAACCTGTTCCTGGCAGCCATGAGCCTGAGGAAGCAAGAGGCTGTGAAGGTCGGCACAGGGAGGTGCCGCTGTCAGCACAGGGGGGCGGGTGCAGCACAGCCCCGCGCGATCGTGCAGCAGCTGCTGATGATGGGAGGGTGTACTTCAAGCCTGGGTGCTTGAGACAACATTTACAAATACAGGGACCACAGTAGGAGAATGTGAGCACGGGTGGGCTGCAGTTAATGAGATTAACTTTAAATGTGTTGAATTTGTGGGGACGGTCAGGTGATGGGGGACAAAAGTTAGAAATCTAACTTTTTAGATTAGGACGTGGGGCTTGAGGAAGAGAGCAAAGTCGGGGGTGCCCAGGTAAAAGGAAGTCTGTAAACTGTAGGGCTGAGTATCTCAAAGAAGAATGTGCATATGGACCGAGAAGAGCACTTACCACAGAGCTTCAGAGAAATTCTACATTTCAGGGACAAGGGAGAAGAAGGCCCCAAGGAGGCAGGAAGAGGAAAAACCCAGAATCCTGGAAACCAGGACAAGTTTCCAAAGGGGAGGTGCTGTCAGCAGAGTCCAGTGAGGAGAAGAGGAGGCCGAGCAGGGATGGGACGGGCCCCTGACCCGCAGCTGCAGAGGGTGGAGCCCTGTTTTAGGAGCTGGACCAGGGGCTCAGTGGAGAGACCAGCACTGTCCCTGGCTTTGGGGAGCGTAGGCTCTCTGGATGGGCAGCAAGTTAACAGACACTTCAGTCTGCTGGGTGCTGCGGCGAGGGCTGTGCCCTGTCCTCGTCTCCAGGACCACGGGAGGGTTTGAGGACCTGTCAGCCCTCCCGTGATAGGTGTGGGTTCTGGAGTCTGGCTGCCTGAATCTCAGTTATGGCTTAGCCGTGCATCAGCTCAAGTGACTTCATGTGATATACCCACTCTGCTTTCATTTCCTCACCGGTGGTCAAAAATAATGATAATAGTAACCCTCTCTGCTTCATTGGTTTATTGTGAGGATTAAATAAATTGAAGGATGTAACACATGAGACAGCAGCTGACATGTAAGAAGCCCCTGATTATCAACCACCAAACTTCTGTGGTGCTTCCTCTGTGCCAGACAGGGCACGTTATGAAACTGGTGGTGGTGTCACCTGCACCTTCCAGGCAGGGAGCCATCATAGCTCACCCTGCTGATGGAGCCTCACAGGGTCACACAGCTGCAGGCGGTTATTCTGCTTGTGTCCTCTGCACTCAGTGGGTGAGGATTCCTATCCTTGGGTCATGGGGATGACCAAGCACGTGACACTTGACACTGGAAAGATTGGACAGTGGGAGTTTATTTGTCATGTATCCTCACAGCCTGGGGGGCAGAGGGCGCTGAGTGCCTCGCAGGGCCATACGGGGGTTTCGGAACAGAATGAAGCAGCAGGGCGGTGAGAAGGTAGGCTTCGTGGTACCAAGAGGGTAGGTGCCCCTGCTTCCCGTGGGAAGACGCGGCTGGCTGGTTGGAATCATTCTGTGGGCTGGCAGGGAGCTGAAACCCCTGCCTAGGGTTAAGCAAGCACTCTGCCTGTTCCCCATGCTAACAAGAGTTTGGCTGGGGGGCTTATCTGCAGAAGTGGCATGGGGAAGAGGACGTGTGGGTATGCCATCTGAAGCTCTCTGATTTTAGCCGATGCCAACATGGCAGTACTTGACACTGAAGCCAGTTTCAGACTTGTGCCACAGTGATCTAGTGCTGGTAAGCGGCATGCAGATTCATGCTTGTGAACACGGTTTTGCAGTCCCAGAACTTGCAACAAAATGGTTGTGTCCTGATCATGACTTAGGCACTCCACCTGCACTACCTGCTTCTTTGCCTGGAATTCCCTCTTGATCCTAAACTCTGCCTGGTGAAATCCTACAAGCCCACCAAGCCCCATCTCATGCCAGTTTCTGTATGAAGCTTTTTCTTTCAGTCAGGTGTGGCCCCTTGTGGATAAAATGAGGGTTCCTGTGGCCAGGATTCTCACCTGTCCCTGGTTGACTAGCTCACTGCACACCTGTGGGCAATACATGGCTGTTGAGTCTATATAAAGGGCTCCACCCAGTGCTCTGGGCGACATGGTGGTAGGGCTGCAAGGCTGCAGGAGAGCAGGGCAGAGGCCCAGAGGACAGGGTGGACCTCTGTGTGGACAGAGGGGCCCAGAGGATGGCTGTGTGGGCAGAGAGACCCAGGGGCAGAGACTGCCTTGCTGCATGCAGACTCGCTCTGCGTGGACGGGATTCTAGTGACTGACCGGCCACCTGGAAATACAGTTGGGTATAACCCTTTCACCCCAAGAACTTTTTGCTGTCGATTTCCCTGGTCACATTGAATCCATAGCGAACTTGCCTGGGGCTGAAACCCATTGGCAAGACCGCTGTCCTTCATCTCCAGGGAGCACTGTGGAGTGGGAAGGACATGATCTTGAGACCAGAAAATTATGTTTCAATTTCTTGCTTTGTTATTTATTAGCTCCACAGTCTTGGGGAAATAAAGTAAACTTGATTATCCTTCATTTGCCCATTTCTTAAGTGGGGATAATAATGTCGCTTTGACATGGTATTCTGAGATTTCTCATGAAAATGCATACATAGTGCTCAGTCATTAGAAGGTACACAATAAATATGAATTTCCTTTTCTTAAATTACTTGGTATTTCTACTGACCCCTACATTATTATGCCTATACTGTAATGACTTGATTATTTGTTTTATCTACTCCTGGTAGATCATAAACTTGAGAAGAGATGATAATTTCCGCTTACCTCTTTTTTGTTCTTGTCCTGATTGTTTACTGCTCACCATCAATTCCACATGGTAGATATTTTTATCAACATAGAAGGACTCAGCATATGCTGCTCTACAAATTAGCCCTTGTGCTAACTAGGATAGCACTTCGGTGTGACTTAATGCACATATTTGCTTAAACTGCTGATAAATCCTTTTTTTCTGAAAGTAAACGTTACCTGGGAGAGAGAGCACAATGCTATTAATTTATATTATATAAATCCATATTTGATGAAATTACTCTTCCAACCCCAACATTAAGTTAAATGGGGATACAGTTTTCAAAACCTAAAGAGGGACAGAAATGGCAAGGAAGAAGAAAAACAGGTGTCAGAAGATGAGTCTTGGAGCTTCTAAGGCAAATTTTGCCGCTTTGTAATTTTTAACACTTAGAATCAGGAACTGGGAGAAAACAAACTGCAAACACATTATTTGTGTTGTTTGCCAATAAAATGTGTGATAAAAGGAAAACATGAAATTGTCATGTTTGAGTTTTTCTCAGGATTTAAAAGATTTATGCTACCCTGTCTATTCTTCATTAATATACTTGGAGAACTGAATGTGTTGTCTGGTAAAGAGAATGGAAGACAGAGTCAGCGGGTTATTATTTTTTTTCCTTACTCATCCTGGATAAATTGTATGACTTGGTGTAAATGAGCCATCTCACTTTTGTTTCTTTTAGTTTTTATGAATAAAAATGGGAGGAAGAGCATGACCTGTGTCCCAGAGGACCCAGGAGCTTGCTGGGAGTGGGCACCTGGTGCTGAGGCTGCCAAATGCTTGTTTCTGAGTAAGTACAAAAGGAGAGGGACTATTTCCCTGTGGTTCCAGAGCTTCAGCCGGGAGGGGAGAAGCACTGGGCAGCTGTGTTCCTTGGCCAGTGACTACATCGGCTCGGTGTTGTGTAATGCTAACTGTTTTGGAGCCTTACTTAAGAAATTCCGAATGTCAGGAAAACTACACAATTGAAAGTAACTACTGAAGTCTTAAGGAATCCGAACCATTTCTAGACTCCATTGACTCCTGTCCCACCCGGCTGGACAATGGTGCAGGATTCCTGTGCATAAAAACTAATTTGGACAACAGTCCTCATCTCAGGACTGAGGAGGGTATAGCAAAACCCTGCAGATTATATGCCTAGACATTCTCTCAGCTGGAAAGCTTCAATGTAATATAACTTTTTCCTGAGATGTTGTGCAATTTGCTCTAAGTGCCTTTGGTGTAATTTTTCCAACTTCCTACCTAACAGTTACACAAGTTATCAGTTGAAAGTTTCCTTTCAACAAACCGAATATACTTTAGAAATTACTGAAGCCACCTGAAATCATTTTGAAACAGATTAAATAAATATCCTACTAAAAAAAGTATAAATGATAACTGTCTCCAGACATAATTTGCTACCTGTTGAGCATTATCATTTCAATGATTAGAGATCTGTTTTTTTCTCTTGTTCTATTCTATTTTGCTAATGACAAAGAAGGAGCTAAGAACATTTGAATTAATTGTGCAGATGCATTAGTATTAATCTTTATAGAAGCTGGTGTTCCTTAGTATCGGGGGAGCTATTTCCATGGCTATTTGTGGAGATGTAATAGTTGACAATAGGAAAATAGAATCAGATAATAGACTAAGAAAAATATATCTGAATGATAGCAAATAATATTTAAGCCAGGCTTAACACTGGGTATTTCCCTTTGGTACCTAAGACCTGCAGCTTGTGAATCTTACTTAAAGTCTAGCCAGATTGTAAATAGGAACAGGAAAGAGGAATCAGGGTAGGGATGGAGAGTTTTAATAAATTTTCAACCTCATTTTTCTGCAGAAGGGGCTATTTAATATTTAGAGTTGTAAATGGCATTTTGAGGAGGCATCAAGTGTCTTCAAAATCATTTTTCTAGAATCATCTTTGAGATGAGGCTCGGCAGCCATCTCGTTTGACTGATGTAATCAGGAGAAGAGGGCTGCAGGCATGATGGAAGTAAATGATCTGCATTTATATACTTAGCTGGGCAATGGTGCAGGATTCCTGTGGGAAAAAGATAATTTGGACAACTGTCCTCATCTCAGGACTGAGGAGGGTATAGCAAAACCCTGCAGATTATTTGCTTGGAAATTCTCTCAGCTGAAAAGTTTCTATGTAATGTATCTTTTCTGATAAGACTGTCCTCCAAGTTTACTATTTTCCTGTTATTAAAACTGCTTGGGAAGATGTGGCTAATTTAATGTTCTGAGTAACACCAATCATGAGTTACCAATTTACACATAGAAAACAGCATTAATAATGGAGTATTAGTGATAGAGAATGAATAGTGTGCACTAGGCATTTTAATGAATGTTCATCATAAATTATATACTTAGCTGGGCAATGGTGCAGGATTCCTGTGGGAAAAAGATAATTTGGACAACTGTCCTCATCTCAGGACTGAGGAGGGTATAGCAAAACCCTGCAGATTATTTGCTTGGAAATTCTCTCAGCTGAAAAGTTTCTATGTAATGTATCTTTTCTGATAAGACTGTCCTCCAAGTTTACTATTTTCCTGTTATTAAAACTGCTTGGGAAGATGTGGCTAATTTAATGTTCTGAGTAACACCAATCATGAGTTACCAATTTACACATAGAAAACAGCATTAATAATGGAGTATTAGTGATAGAGAATGAATAGTGTGCACTAGGCATTTTAATGAATGTTCATCATAAATGTAATTATATTTTTGGAAGGGAAATGCTGAAAAGTGATGTGGTCAGAATTGCAAAGTCTATGTTTTCCTGCCATACAAAAGAGGCAAATATTTACATGGTCAATCTCAATGTGCTAAGTCAAATTTGACTGGCATTTGAGGCCCAACCATGAGGTAGGGGCTCTATCTCTGTCCATCTTGTGTCCCCAGAGTCTAGTGCTACATTGGCAAATAGAAAGGGCTTCATCAATGATTGCTAGATAGCATAAGTAATTTTAAATTGCTGAAAACCCAAGTCTGATTCTAGTCAATAATTCTAATCACATTTTCTACTAAATCTTTTATTCATATACTCAATACCTGTTTCAATTGACTAGGTCATATTTTATCTCTTTTTGACACTGTATTTATGAAGGCTTTGGGTCAATTATATTGTTCTTAAAATTCTTTTTGGTACCAATATACATGACAGTGAAAATGAGGGAGAGAATCAGTATCAAATAAATGGTTGGTTTTATTTATGTCTACCTGCTGAACCCAATGGATGCAACGTTCCACCCCCCACGCCACCCCCAGCTGACACTGCCGCAGGCCTGGAAGCACACCTGCCCTCTTGAGCCATTCACGGACTCAGGTGACTCCTATGAGGTCCTCACTAATGAGGACATCCAGAAAGACCCCCTCCCCCGGCAGCCTGTTTTGGCTGTGTGTCTGTGAGAGCCCAAGAATCTTATGAGTAAAGTGTTTCAAATTCTTTATTTCAAGAAAGGAATGGTAGCTTGATGGATCGAAGTGTATGTTGGTGACTTTATCAAATACCAAATAAACGACTCCACTATAAAAAAAAAACCCTCCTCGATTTCTTAGTTTGAAATAAAAGCATCATTTTTATTTGCTGCCCCTATTCATTCTATGGCTTTGACTCGAGAGGTGAGAAGGCATAAATTCTATTTAGCTCACTGCTGTATTCTCAGTGTGACAAAGTACCAGGCACAAGCAGATACTGAAGCAATATTGGTTGAATTGGTTAAGCTCTTTTATGGGATAAGAGAAATGTGAAGGTAAGGCTGGACATATGGCTGTGTAGTCAGCACTTTGATATTTTTTCTTCTGTCTTTTCTAGTACATGTTTTCTCTCATCTTTTAAAACTGTTTTTAATGGACCTTTAGGCTCTGTGCTGGGCACTATGGGGCACACAATGATGAGTAAGATTTGAAGGTCTTGGAATATTCCCTCATTATTCTTTGTTAATTTACTTATTTGTTCACTTCACAAACATTTGTTCCCTTTATAAAGTATGGCTTACTATTGAATTTGTCTTTAAAAATAACCCTGTTTCAAAGTTATCCTCTAATGTGCTTTGTAGTTTAGAAGCAAAGACTGAGCAGTTAAAAACAGTAAGACAAATCTGAACTGATCAGAAAGGTGTAATAGCGTGGACTATTAATCCCTTAGAGTAGAGTATTCTGCTGAAGAGTATTAAATTGGAGAAGGAATAAGTCTAATAAATATCACCTTCCATGCTGTGAAAGACAAATAGCTGAAACCAAACTAGCTAAGAGAAGATTTACTTGTAAGATCTTTTGAGAATAAAATGTTTGAAGAGATAATATAAAAATAGAACTATTAACTGATTTCATTGCCACAGCTAATAGAAATGGTTATTACACTATATGACCTGGAGCCCAGGAAAATAAAATCTTGAACTTTCAGATTACCTTTATGTCAGATACACTTAAAAGCTTAAAACATTTGATTTAACCAACATCAAATATTCCTTTAATGAAAATAAACCATTCAGAAAGAAAACATGAATCCTAATATGTTCCAATTTGAAATCAGAAGGAACATTAAAGTAATTTTGTCTAAATTTCCTATCTTCTAGCAAGGAGATTGAGGTTATGAGAGGTCAAGTGATGGATTCAGTGCCACATAATTAGGGTATATAACTTCTATAGGATTCTTCACACTATAGTCATACTCCCATGAACATTAATAAATTATCTTCCTGGTACAAAGCAATCTTGCTGGATTTTTGAACATTCTAGGTTAACTCAGTGAATTCAGCATATTCCCTTACAGACCCCAAGGCTAAAGCTTCTCCTGATAAAGAATCACCTGGGATCTATCTGAACCCTACCGACAGACGGTAAGTGAATACAGCAAAATATGACTATTTTGTACTTATCTGAATTTAAATTCAGGTGGCTCAAAGAATGACTTGTGTCCCTTCATTATGTTATTGGTGGCAAATCAGTAATAGAAAATCCAACTTTATTAACCGAATGTTCCTCATCCGCAAGAAAGTCATAAGGCATATTTAGTCTCATTTATTTCATGTTTAGGGAAGCACGTTACAGGAGGACACTGAGGCCCAAGAAAGGTCTTGGAGTTGTATGAAAGGCACAGCTATCCAAATTCTAGTCTCCATCTCCTCCTGGGATGGTTAATTGTATGTGTTAACATGGCTGGTCTGTATGTCCAGTTATTTGGTCAAATACCAGTCTATGCTATGAAGGTATTTTTCAATGTGGTTAACATTTGAGGAAAGCAGATGACCCCCCAACGCCCACGGCATGAGTACACCTCAGCAGTTGATGTTGGAAGCCTTCAGAGAGCAGACAGGTTTCCTAAAGAAGGAAGAATTCTCGAGACTGCAGCACAGAGAGCTGCCTGCATTTGCGGACTGCTGCCCTGCAGAATTTGGGTTCAACTCTCCAACATTAATTCTTCCGTGGATTTCTAGCCCACTGGCCTAACTGATGGATTGTGGACTAGCCAGCCCCATAGTCATGAGGGTCATTTCCTTAAAATGTCTCCCTCTCCCTCTCTCTCTTCAACTGGAGATGCATATATAGCTCCAGTTGGTTCTATTTCTCTGGAAAAACCCAAATAATACACCCCCTTCTGTATTCTTTCTGCCTACCTTCTGTTGTCCTAACGCTGGACTTTTGAGTGAGCAAAGACATGCCCTCTGTGGCCCGTGAGCCTGCAGAGGATGGCTGTGCAGTGGCCCACCTCACCTGAGAGGAGGGCGTTCAGAGGGGCCGCACATACACAGGGGTCAGGGTGGCGTGGCCTGGGAGGCCTGTAGGTCTAGGCCACATGCAGCTGTGGGTGCCCCGAGGAGCTGCAGCATCGGGAGAGAGTCACTGGCAGCCTCCATGGAGGCAACAAAGGAGTAAACAGGACTTCAGGGCAAGAACATCGGTCCCAACAAAGGGCGTTTTCAGGAGCAGCAGCTCCGCATGCTGGCATGATTAAAGAGAACGTACAGGGCGCTATTTGGCAGGATGTCTTTTTTAAAAGAAGAAAAAATATGTATTCCTCTAATCCTTAGTAAAACATCAACACGTTCTTGAATAGGAAAGAATTTCGATTCTGAACGAAATGCTTTAATGAGGGACAGATAATAAGTGTGAATTGAAACTAATTGGTGTTTCAGATCACTGAGCTGGTTGAAAAACCATTTGTGATGAGGTCTGTATAAGTTAACAGTCGCTTTTAAATGCCCAATTAAACATCGTCCTGTCCCTAGAGAGAATAAAAAAAAAGTATTGTCCCTCACCGCACTATACTTAACCAAGTGATTAAAGTGGGCAGTCTGAACAGATTATTTTTTGTGTGTGGCAAAAGCTTTTTCCCCTAGAGTAGGCTGATGTAGGTAGCCCTCGGACAATGACACATTGTGTCTCGTACAGATGGGAATACAGCCATGCAGTGAACAGGAATAATGGGCTAATGTGAGAAAAAGCCATGAGATTCTCGTTGAACAAAAAGGAAAAATACAGAGACAAGGTGAAAGGTGGTTTGATTGTGGTTGATTTTTTTCTATCTTGGGAATAATAATTAAACGTGTTATCAATAAGAGGTTTTTTTTTTAAATTATGCTATTTGGGCTCTAAGGGTTAAGGGCAAAGTGTTTGCAGTGAATTATATTTGAGAGAGAGCAAGGTTTCCTACTTGCAAATGCATTTTACTGTTGGCTGAAGCCCTCTGGAATTCAGTGAAAAGGACATTAAGAGCACAGGCTGACAGATGGAGTCCTGGAGAGGGGTCACAGAGGCTTGTTCTCCGACCATTGTCTGTGTAATCATTTTCTGGGTTTAGGGACTGAGGCGCTATTGGAAATTGAGTAATTTCTTAAGGAAAGAGTTCAGGAGGTACTGTCTGCAAGAAGAGGGTCTGACGAGACATCTGCTGCCCCTTTCATCGCCCTCCCTCGCTCCTTCCTTCCCTCCTTTTCTCCCACTCTAGTTTATACAGTTGAAATCATACAGCCAGCACTCAACTGCATGGTCTATACCAACCTCTGGGTAATGGCTAAAGGAGAAAAGAGCATCTCTATAACTACCTCCCCTAAATGTTTGCAGGGTAGTTGGGAAAGGATTTTTCTCTTTTTTTTGTAATTCCAGAAAACAAACAACAAATGAAAATCAACTCCACAGACATTAAGGAAACAAAGAGAATCATTTACATTATTTATATAGCTGGAAAAAAGCCTCTCAGGTTACTTGGCCAACTCTTTATTTTGGTCGAAGCATCATTTGATGATGCGTGAGAGGGGGACAGAGAGCAAGGGAGGGGACCCGGGCAGGAGGTCGGGAGCTGGGGGAAACCAGGGTGGAGGAGGAGGGGCGGCAGGAAGACTTCCTCAGGTGGGATTAGCTGTGCATTTCAGTCAGATCCCAGCATCCTCTTCCTTCCCCTGCCAACTGAAACCGAGGTAGCAAGTCAGAGCTCTCAGGAAGATTAAAATATAATTTTTATGTTCATGCATGGCTATATAAAACGGATTTAGGTTTGTATGTTTGTGTCTTACATGACCTGGCTGTTTTGGCTTATCATTGTCTTGTACTTTTGATCATTCTCTAGAAATGCTGAATTTTGTATTGTACATTTGCTGCTATTGCTGTTTTAATCTGTGTTGGATTGGAAATATCTTAGTTTCATTTCCTTCCCTTATTCCTCTTAGCAGTCATTTGCCTCAAGTATGGCTCCTGGTTTCTTAGACACTTTTTGCCCTGGTATCTCCTGAGTATTATCAATTTGTCAATAACAACTCCAGGTTCTAAAACCACATTTTCTTACAGCCTGTCTCAGACTGAGCAATTTGTTTCCTTTCAGAGCTGGAGCGTGACATGGGTGCTCTGGACATTTCCACCCAGCCCTCTCATGTGCTTTAGGCGGATGGCCTGCCTCTCTGGGCATTGCATCTAGTGCAAACATTCATGTCCTTCTCATTTAAGCCTTCAATACTTGACTTAAACCCCCAAAACACTGTTGAAACAGACTCTCACAACCAAAATCCCCACTAAATTCATTCGGAAACTTTATTTCCATCTTCCCTCCAATACCCTAAGTTCATGGCAAGTCCCCAGGGAAGCAAGCAGAAGAGGGGAGCTGGTGACGGCAGGCTCTTCCACTTCCCTGTGCCAGGAGAGCTGGCCGTGGCTTGCTCGGAGGGTCTCCTGGGCATGGGGATGCATTCGCCCCCACCCCCTGTCCCAGCAGGACGGCCTCCCCCGGGATGATCTCTGCTTTCAAGGCCGCATCTCTTTACCTAGACCTTCCGCTTGTTTCTTGTCCCGTCTTGCTCCCGAGGCTCAGCTGCTAACGTCCATTCTCTCATCTCTAACTTCTTACCCTTCCAGTGATATCTGTGCTTTGATGATTTTTCCCTCCTGCATCATCTCTGCCCTGTGGGGTCTTGCTCCAGACTATTATTTATTTTAATAAATCATTAAAATAAAAATTTCTGAAGCAAGTACGCCAATGTGACTATCTGATGACTACATGGCTGGAGAGATCATTAAAGTGTGAAAGGAGCTGTTAACTAAATGCCTTTGTCACTCCTGTAACTTCTTCTTAATTTTTATTTATCCAGAACAGGTAAGTGATGAAGCAGAAATGGAAGAATTCCAAATGACAAAGAAATAATAAACATTACTTCTTGCTTATTTTATTTATAATTTTTGAACACTTTTTATTCAGATGCTGTCACTCCTAAACTCAATGATCTTCCTTATCAATTTCTGAACATGCTAAATTTCTAAACATGAAGTCATGAATCTCTAAACATGAAGTATTTACTATTTTAACTTGTCTATGATCATTTTAGACAAATTTATCTAAGAAAGAGAAACCTAAGATATACAATAAAAATACTTAGAATTTCAGTTATGGAAAATTTCTCATATTTTTAAGGATGTCTGAGATAAAGAGCTAAGATGATATTTTAAGCCATAATGTCAAATAAACTCTAACTACTCTATGATTGTCGATGTCTTACCCTGCTGGTTTTAATAGTGTGAGACTGATTTCATGATAATAAAGTCCATATGAAGAGCATTTTAAAAAATGAAAAAATCAAGACAAATCAGTTCTATCGACTTTCCCTTTTATATATACTCCAGTACTTGGGCTGGTATAAAATGGAACTGTAGGTTAGTAGTTCTTTTAAATGGAAAGTAATTCCTGTCCATTACTAGTTGTTCCTTAGCAAGTAATTTAGAATATTGGGATTTCAATAGAAGTAAATCAAAATGATAAGAAGTGAAGTTGGCATCATGAGGTTATGTAGTCATCATTCCCATGTTCTGAGGGTTCGGTTCATATGGGGAGGGCTGAGATTCACACCTGAAAACTTCACGTACAAAAGCAGTGGAGCAGGCTTCGTTCAAGGGAACGAGTAAGCAGGCTTGGGACAAAGTAGCAGACACGCATTCAGTGGAGACTAATGTCACTGAAAACTGTAAACTGGCCTTGCTATTGACCAGCCCAGCACTAAACTCCTTTGTCCCTCTAATAGTGTCCTCTGCCTGTTCTGTGGGCTGCTTCCTCGAGGCTCAAAACTAGAACATTTCCATCCAAGGACAGCACATACCTCTCCCTGTAGTGAAGACAGCTTCTATGTCCCGTGGTAGAGCTTTAGAATTTTTATAATTTTCTTTATACCTTATTAGTTATTTCATGATTCCAGTTACTCTTGGGAGTACATTTTTTCTTCTTCCATTATATTTTCTGATTGGCTTATTGGATTTTTGAATATTTGTGCCATCCCTGCTTATCTGGGTTTGCTTGTCCTTTTTGGCTGAGTTGATCATTTTGATGAGAAAGTGGGTTAACCCTGATTTGTAAGTTCGTCTTTTCGTTTTGTAGAATAAGTGCATTTTTTTTTTTCATAGTCATCTCTGACATACAGCTGCAATGTGCAGGCCTCATGTCTCCAATGGAGGATGATTGTTTAGAAGGCAAATCACAGGTATGGTGACTTCAAAGCCTGTTTACTTCTTCCCTTGAACGCAACCAGATGAAGCAGCCTGTTCCATTGCTTTTGTACGTGAGGTTTTCAGGTGCGAATCTCGGCTCTCCCCATATGAACTGAAACCTCACCAGCACCTCAACCCACCCCACACCCAAATGTCCACACCCTAAACCCTGGAGCCTGGGAATGTTACCATATGGCAAAAGAGTCTTTGCAGCTGTGGTGAAAGGTACAGACCTTCAATAGGGAGATGATTCTGGATTATCACGGTGGGCCCGTCTGTATGAATCCTTAAAAGGGAAGACAGTTCCCTAGCTACGGTCAGAGGCAGAGATGTGAGGATGGAAACAGGGTCAGGGGGATTTTCAGTTGCTGCCTGTCAAGATGGAGGAAGGGGTCCATGAGGCAAGGAGCACACTTGGAGAAAAGAGCGCCCCAGGAGAAAAGCTTCCCTGCTGGCACGTTGGCTTTAGCTCTGTGAGATGCGTGTCAGATTTCTGACCTCAGGAGTGCGAGGTAATACACTTGCACCATTTTAAGCCCCTAAGCTGCGGCGGTGGGTAATGGTAGCAATAGAAAATACATCCATATGTGAGACTGTTCAGGCCGCCATAGCAAAATGCCACAGACTGGTGGCTGAAACAGCATAAATTCATTTTCCTGTAGTTCTGGAGGCCAGAAGCCCAGGGCCAGGGTCTGGCGGGTAGGTTCTCGTGGGAGGCCCCTTCCTAGCTGAGACACCTCTCCATGTTTTCACAAGGCAGAGAGAGAAGGAGAGAGAGCTCTGTGGTGTTTCTTCTTTTGAGGATGATAACCCTACCTATGAGGGCCCACCCTTAGGGCCCCATTTAACCTTAACTGTCTCCTAAGACCCATCTCCAAATACAGTTACTCCGGGCTTTTAGGCTTCCACACAGGAGTTTTGGGGGAACACATTTCAGTCCACAGCAATTTCTAAAAGCTGCTTTTCCTTTATGTCAGTGCAATGTGTATTTATGCTTCATGGCAGGGTGGTTAAGAGTAATTGGTACTTGTGATAGGATTTCTCTCTGAAATATCCCTCCTATAAAAATGATTATATTTTAAATTTTTATCCTTTTTATTTTGAAATCATGTTAGACTCACAGAGAATTTGCCTGAATAGTGCAGAGAGTTCTCTTACCTTCCACCCAGCTTTTCCAGTGTCCCCTTTGCCAACATTTTCCTAACCACAGAGCAACGTCCTGACTTGGGAAATTAACGGGGGTACCATAGCTCACTAAATGACAGACTGTACTAGGATTTCACGAATTTTTCAAGCAATGCTTGTTTTCTGCTCCAGGATCCAACCCAGGATTTCATCTTGCAGTTAGTGGTCCTGTCTGGTTCGTCTCCTGCGAATTATGACAATTTCTCGGTTTCTGTTTTTCACATCCCTGACGCTTTTGAGGAGTACGGGTCAGTTCTTTGTTGAATGTCATCCACTTGGGTTGTTGTTCCCTTTCTATTTTTAGGGAAAAACCTCTTGGCATCTGTCACTTACTGCTCTGACTTCTAATTATAAGCATGTCCACAGACGGGGGCCATCCACAGCCCCTGCTGACCCCTTTGCTTCAAGCGCGCCTTTTGTATCTCTGAAGACTTCTAGTCTGAGTGACACAAGTGAAGTAGACTTTTACTTTGTACAGGTATGATTCTCATCCGAGGATCTCTTGTAGTTCTACTACTCTATCTGAAAGTCTCTAAGCAGATTCAAAACAGCTGGAAATAACTGCATGCCTCAGAGTGAGAGAAATTGTTTCAGTGAGTGGACCAAATCTGGGTCTGATTAGTGCATACATGCCTCATGGAGACAACGATCTGGGACCAGGGGTACAATAATAATGGTTAATAATAGCAAACATTATTTCATAATTACTATGTGCCAGGAGTTGTGCTAAATGCTCTATATAAATGGTCTAATTTATTTCTCACAACCACCCCTTGAGGTACATGGGAAATTGCAGACCTGAGCAGTTAAATAATTTGCTCGTGACCATGTAGTCTGGAGAGCATTGCAATCTGGACCAGAGACAACGCGGTGGTTAGTGAACAGGAGCAAAGGTGCTGCATCAGCTGGGTTATCAGGAAGGGTGGACTGGACAGTGGCAAATAAGTAGCGTGAGGACTGGAAAACGACCAGAGAGTCAAATTCTCTTGGAAGTGAATGACTCCTTAGCTATTAGCCAGGTTTATACCCTTCCAACTGAGATATCCCTGCATTATTTTTCTACTAAATAAAAAGCCAGACTTTGCTTAATTCTTTATCAGAGAGCTCATTCTATTTTTGGACACGTGTGATTGTCGAAGTCTTTTCCCTTCTTCTGGGCTGAAATCCGCCTGGTCCTAGTTATGTCTGAAGTTAACAAGATAAATATAATGTCTTTGACTTGACAATCAGTCCTTCAGATATTTGATGATGATAATGTTCTGCTTCAGTCTTTCTGTTTCTATTTGCATTTTCTTCAGCTATTCTTCATATAATGTAGCTAACAGTCCTCTGACCATGTAAGTCTCCTTTATTTGCTTAGAGGTGGGCAAGTACTAGGGAGATTTCTCAAATTTGAATTTGTCATGAAAAGCGAATGAAAGCCTTGTATAATTAAGGCAACTTAGATTTCAGGAAAAGAAAATTGTAGAGCCTGCATTAAGCAGCCATTTGAGGGTGGGGACATAACCCATAGGCGAATCTTGTGTGTACAGTAACAGTCTGGAAAATCTCAGGGTAATATTTCAATAGTTATTCCTTTTAAGATTTCCCTTAGAAGAACTTGTAATTTAGATTTCCTGAGGACATAATCTGGAGCACATCTGAACCTTGATAAACTGGATTCTGCCTGGCACTTAAAATGATTCCCTATTTAGGAGATGTGATTGGCAAATGAGACTTTTATCTTTTGATGCTATCGACTGATATCCTGCAAAAAGATGGATGATGGATTTCTTTTGGAACACACGATCATTCTGTAATTTTACCTCTCTCCCTTTCTCTGCTCTTTCTTTCCTCGTAACTGAACCCTGAAATAGAATGTAATCTGTCGGACATACTCTCCATTTGTTCTTTTTACATAGCAAACCCTATTATTGTAGATATCTGAACTATAAAGTCTTCTGGAATTCAAAAATATTTAAAATAAGAAAACAGCTCTTGCAAATATGTTTAAAAAGCTTTGGTGCTTATCATGCTATCTTAAATAGTGCCTTTTAGAAGGAAAAGCAAAAGCATAGCAAACTAAGGTCTTTTCTTGTCTAATGCTAATTAAATAACCAGTAAATTTAATTGCTAAATATCACTGAGATTTTGAATCAACTAAACACCAAACTTGGTCAGGTGTAATTCTTTCCTAACCTTGAATTCCCATTGCAGTATTCTGCAGTGTAACCTGAAATGCTAGTAGTTGTGATAATTTGTGGCTATGCTATTTCTCAAGGGCATTATATAGCAGTTCAAAAAATTACTACTGTTTGGAAGACAATGAGTTATATGTAGCTTTAGAGAGGTAGGTAGATGCTTTGAAATGTGTTTGAGATTTCAGGAGCCATTGTAAAAAGAATCAGAGCAGTTTCTCTGTCTCCTTAAAATGTGTTCATTATTTAACAAGAATAGGAACTGATTAAACAATTCCAAGTCTAAAAACCAACAGTTTACTCTATTTCTATTTGAAAATGGAGAGATATCTGTATTTATTAATGGACATTTCTCCTTACTGGAAGAAACTCTTCAATTTGTCTCCTGTGAAATGTGTGGATGTCAAAATCTTATCAGAATACAGTTAAAATGAAGAGTTCATCTCAGTGATAATATGCAGAAAGAATGAGCACTGGCTGTTATATCAGTCCTTTGAAATGCTTATGGAAAAGAAGGCATGCCCAACATTTTATTTTACTGATATTTCTGGCAACATCAAATGTCATAGCATTTAAATGAAGAATATTACTCTATATAATTAGTCATTGATCAAATAAATGACTTTGGTTTTGGGGTGAAAATAGCAAATTCATTTGAAATGTTATGCTAAAATACACCTAAACATATGTTTTGAAGGTATTTGTTAAGGCACAGGACTGCAACTCTTGAATGCTAGGACTTCTCAGAGTATCATCTGAGTAACTCAGTTCTATGAGTTTGAAAAAAGGCAGTAAACCTTCCAGCGTTGAATGTTCTCCCTTGCTCTTCTTCTGTGTCTCCAGTGTGTTGTTTTAAAAAGTAAAAGCATAACTGTGTTCCACAGCGATCACAGAGCTTTAGTCTGACCCTACTGAATTCATGCATCCGTGCCAGTGTCCACCCATCCTTCAAACACAGAGACTGTGAAAGCTGATAAAGCACATGAAAACCTTTGTATACTGTTGGGCTCTATAAAAATGTTACCTGTTATTACTGATAGGAAGGTCTGATTCCCTGACATGTCTTACAGGTAGTTAGGACGATCTTTCCAGGGGTGCTTAGGCGAATTTCTGGAGTTGGTGGCACATGTGAGGCTGTGGAGATATCAGAGTTTGTCTGAAGTCATTTTGCCTCACTTAGGGCAGATCTCCCCACCGAGGTAGAATTCAGGGGCTCATCAGTATACCTGCCTTCTTCCGGGGTTGGTAAGAACGGATCAGTGTAAGGCTTTCTTACTTGGGATGGCTTCTAGTTTGCAAGAAAACCAAGAGAGGACTGTTAATGAGGAACTGCTTGGGAGTCAGGGAGACTGTTGGAGTAAGAAGAAACCAGGGCTTCCTGTGAACTTACTGAAGTCTGCTCTTCGCCAGGACTGTCAATACCACAGCACCCTCCGAAGGTGGGTATTATCACTTTAACGGACCAATTAATAAATGCTAAGTGGTTATATCCAGATACCAGCAAGTCACAGAGCCAAGGTCCTTAGCCAAGGCTGTCCAAGCTCAGTTTCTTTGTTGCTATTTGAAACAAAGACCACCTACTTCCTCTGCAGCAGATCCGCAAAGATACCAGGTAGACCACTGAGTGTTCCAGCATTGGTTCCAGTTTTTCCAGTTAGATGGGGAAATTCATTTTCATGTCGGAAGTCCCCATAAATCCAAGGAAAGGTTTAAATGGGTGAAAAGCTTCTAAAACTATAATCGCCATCTCTTAAAAAGGCCATCTTGACACAACATACATGATTTCATATGTACATGTATACAAACTTGCCCACTGACATGGACACATAATAAATCTAAGTTTTATAATTAGGACTACATGATACATAACTCAATGATTAGGATATAAAGTTCCTTGAAAAATAAAAATGGTAGAAAACATGGAAAACATTGCTTTCAAGAGACATAATGAATCCCACTTGGGAGAGAGAAAAACAGACAATAAATCTGAATAAATGCAGACTAAAATCTGGAGAGAATTATCTCAAATGAGTTAATAGGCTAATTCAAAATAATATTTTAGGCTTCCAGCCACAGGCTCACAGATTCACTGTCTCTCCTCAGTGTCGGTTTTCTGAATCTGTTCTGTATTTGTTTTAGTGGAAATGAGTGAAGAATTAAGACATAACTAAATTACTTTTCCATGATGCATATGTTGTACTGGTGCCATAAAAACATAGTTTCCTCAAAGTTTAATTTATCAGTTGGAGTGTAAGATTAAAATAAAGATACTCCCTAGACATAAACAAATATATACCTACGTTCACAAATATGTATTTACCTCTCATGAAGTCCTAACTGGTACTATGGGTGGAGAATAAATTACATCACCAAAAACAGAGTTTGTCTTATAAAATTATTTCTGAGATAAGTAGTTGCCGGAGACTTTGGCATTCTATTCTTCAGACTCAGAATTACTAGACTTAGGATCTGCTTTCTATTGTTTAAATAAATTTTAGCAATATTCATAAACAGTACAAAGATGCCAAGATATGAACAGTAAAGACTATTGCACCGTTTGAAATATTCAGATAGGCAAACAATATAACATTTCAGATAAACATCGATAGCCTTATGCTCAGCCCTGAAAAGAAGGAAAAAAACTATCCAAAGAAGAAATATTTCTAGGCATTTTTATCATTTCTCTGATATTGATATCACAACCCTATCCTGAGCACTGGGTTTTCTTACTCTTCACTGGGTAAGCAGACTGGAGAAGACACGGGCAACCGACATAGCAAAGATTCACACCCAGACTGCAGGAAGGACTCTTACGAATCAGTGAGAAAAAGTTTCAATACCTATTAGGAAAACAATGGCAAAGGAGATGAAGGAAAATAAAGATACTCCCTAAGCAGAGGATGCCCCACCACACTGACCTGTAGGGAGATGCGACATAAAACAAGTTTCTTATTTATCCTCTCGGCTGATGGGAATGTGGGGAAACAGGAAGGCATCCACTTCCCTGGTGGGACTGTGAATTATTACCACCTTTTGAAGAGAAACCGAACAACATGGAGTCAAGTTGAAGGTCCCAGCAGCTTCCCTTCTCGGCAGCTATTCTAGAGAGATTTTCACAAAAGTTTCAAGAAGATGTGTAAAATGATGATCATTGCAGCCTTGTATACACCAGAAAAAGGTAGGAACAGCACACACATCCTCTTTTAGGGTGTTGAATAAAGAAATTTTGATATAATCATAGAATTGGATTGTATATGATGTATGTAAAAGTAGATCTACATATAACTATATGGATCAAATGGAAAAACATAATTGAGTATAAAGCCCAGTACAGAAGGAGCTAAATGGCAACACAGCATTGTATATGTTTTAATAGCAATGGTATTTGTATTTCATACATGCATTTTTATAGGGGAAAGGTACCAAAACAAGTATGGCACTGACACCTGCTCATTTCCGGTTAGAAGTTACCTTTGGAGAGACAGGGTGGGTAAGGGAGAAGAAGAAGGTTGGGGTTGAATGTGTAATGTTTAATGTAATCTCGTCAAACTGAAAGATTGGAAGCAAATGTTGCAAAATGATAGCCTTCGTTTCAAGTCTATGATAGGTCAATAGGCATGTGTTATCCTTTTTGGTACTGTCTACAGGTGTGACATATTTTATAATTAAACAATTAAGAATGTAACTTGATGAATATGACTTCGAGTTGACCGTCCTAAAATATATTGCTGCACCTTTTCTCCAGCTTCCTCATCCGACTTTACCCTCCCGAAGTAAATCCTGAGCAAGTCTCCTTTGGGGTATGAGCACACAGGTGAAGTGCTTGCTGCTGCTGAGTGAGTGCATGTTCGTCTCTGGGGCTCCCTTAGAGAGCTCCTGGCAGTCCTCACGGCACATGCAAAGGGGGTTCCCAAGGGACAAGCCAAGTGACATGTCTGCAGATCCTGGGCGGGAGACGTCTGTCTGAAGGAGGCACTTCAGGGGGTGGCAGAGGGGGCCAGGTGTGAGGACACGGGTGTGAGATGAAGGCCCTTGGCCTCAGGATTCTGATGCTTACTGGGGCCAGGGGTCATTGCCTCTGTCAATACGCCTGGATTGGAGTGACTCAGACAGGACCATGAGGAGTGTGTCTCAGGCTGTAGGACAGAGGTCCGTATATAGGTCATAGAGCTGAAGTTGGTATGAGGTCTAGCAGCTCTGCCTACTGCTCCCAGCCTGCACCCCCATTTCCCGGTCCCCCTCATCTGCCAGGAAGTCCCAAATGGCCGGCTTACCGTGTTTCTGGCAGTTGGGTGGGGGAGGCTCACACAGGAATTCTTCACTCTGTTGAAGCTGGAGAGGGCAGTTGACATTTCTCTGGTTGATAGCTTGAAGCGAAACCATTTATTCCTGTATTGGGGAAACACCTCTAAATCAGCATGCATGATGCCATAAATGTATGAGATTTCCAGAAAAATTAATTCTCTCACTGTTCTGATGTCAGAAGGTCAGAAGTTGGTACCTCACAACCAAAAGAGAGATGGGTATAGGTATGGAAAGGCTGTCTCACAACATCCTTAGAAGTTTATCTCCTCAAAATACATTTGATACATAAAGTAAAAAAAAAACACAAAAAACAAAACAACCCTGAATTTGATGACCTCATGTGTTTATGAAACAATAAAGGGAACTAAATTTGGGGAATTATTAAAGATATGTCATCCTTTCCACCCCACAAATATCTAGTATTTTTTGCAGCTTTTTTTACATAAAATTTTTCACTTGCAGTACATCATTAGGTATTTAGTTCTCTGCAGAATTGGGTAAACTATTCTCGATATCTCTCCTTTTAAGCTGAGGCATAGTGTTCTTTTTCAGCTGCATATCAAAAGGTAAACAAGTATAGAAACTTCTCCTTTGAAGATTCTCCATGAGTCTGTTGCTGGTTAAATTTCCCTTGCAGAAATCAGGCAGGTTTCCTGTTGCATGTTTACCAAACCCTTTTTCTCAGTAACGTACAAAATTCAGTGCTGCAATTTTCCCATTTGTTAATTTTTCCCATTGAACTCATTCCTCCTCTTTCAATATCTTCTTTCTTGTAGTCTACGTCGTTTAGTGGTAAATACAGAGGATTACAAACATTCTTGTTAGATATAAAGCATTCCAGGAAATTTAATTTCTTTAGTCATGGATTTTAGCTGTAATGATACTTTCCATTTGTATAACATCTCTGCAATGAGAAATCCAAACCCCTTATTCATTATCTGGAGACAAGCATTATTATCATAATTTTGCATCCTGTGTAACTGAGTCACAGGAAATGAACCAGAAATAAATCATACCTGGAGTGTAACTTGCAAAAGAATGAAGCAAAAAGGGGGGATGATGGCATCGTGCCTTGGAGACTTTCACATTGGAGGACAACATGGCTAGTTCACCATTCAGAGGGGAGGGGGCCTCAACTGATTGGGTCTGGGGTGGGAGTAGACCCCAGGGGGAGGGGGGAGGGGAGACAGGGCTGTTGGTGCTGGGTAGCGCTCCCAAAAGCGTTTCCCTGATCCTTCTGTGATGTACCTATGCCCTCAGCCTGTCCAGCCCATATTTCCTTAGGCCTGGGAGCCTTGCTGGCCACTAGGCCCAGCAAAGTTGCTCTGCTGGGCCCGGCTCCCAAGTCCATGAGAACCACTGTGAGCCTAACCCTAGATGAATTGTTTACCACCCTCCGGACCTAACAGGATTCTGAATCTATCAACAAGCTCAGACCCCTTAGTGGTCTAAGCCCTCATCCGCAGGGATTTTCTCTGATCAAACCAGCTTCCCCGAACAGACCTCATATTTTTGAGAAAAAGGAGCTTAGAGGAACCCACAATGTAAAGGTGGCTGTGAGCTTCTCAGCCCCCTCGAAGATCGCTTTCCCACTGAGAGTTGAGAGCAGGGGTTCTCTGCCACAGTTTATTCTACCTAATGGGTCCAGAAATATCTGGATCCCGTGCAAAGGGCAGGAATTGGTGAGGGGAAGGTGTGCCAAATGATTCTCCTCCCCCCGACTGGGAAAGCACCGTGCTCATCCCGCTACCCCCACCCGTAGTGGGGCTTTGTATTCAGGCAGCTTCCTGTCGCTTTCATTTGTATTTCTTATTTCAGTGTAGAAATCAGTGAATTAATTCAGTTCTAGCAAAATGGACGCAAACCAACTCTGGAAACTGAAGTAATCCTCACAAGCAAAGAATGCTGTGACCAATAAATCATACAGCTGCAGAGCTGCCTGAGAAAAACAAGTTCTCTGGAACTCCTAGAAGCCTGGGCCCTCCAGGAAGCCCCCTCACCAGAAGTGGGATGCGACATCCTTGGTGCACTCACGACAGGATCCTGCCTCAGGTCACCAGTGAACTTAGAGCGAGTGGCTGGGCTTTGGAGGGGCTTTCTTTTTTGGCATTCCACCATGTGACACAATCAGCAACAGCATTGGCTGGGAGACTTGGACGAAAAAGACAAGCACAGAAGGACCAGAAAAGGGAGAACAGGCAAGCATGTTGCGTTTCCTTTGGTGTGCGTTGAACACAGGACAAGAAACTCTCATGAGAACTTCGCAAGAAAGCAAACATACCATGTCTGTCGCTAAAAGGGAAAGAATGTCCCTGGGCCAGTAAGCACAGATTAGAACAATCAGAACTTCCTGGTGCCAAGAGTCCAAACAAATGTGTGAAAGGGGAGGAAGGGACATTACCATACTGAGCCTTTCACAGGAAAATGCCACGTAAACGGAGGGATTCATGTCAATATTTGTGTAAGGAAACATGTCTCCGTCTGATCCTAAGGCATGCTACAAAAAAATTGTTGAGAAACTTTGTACAGTAACCACAATAACAACGAAAAATAATACACTTGGAGTCAGTGGCGGGGGAGGTGGCCATTCTCATGGTAATGAAGTGTGTTTGCACGCTGATTCCTCATTGTGAGCTTTGGGGCAGCGGGTCTCACAGCCTTAGTCAAAGGGAGGCAGCCGCTGCGGGCCCCGCATCGTGGGCCCCATGTCTTTGTGTACTTCAGCTGGGAGCTTCTCAGGTCCTCAATGGACGGGCGGGGCACATGAAATCAGGAAAGTCTGCAGCTTCATTTATCGACGACACACTTTATAAACAGCAAGTTATTATTTGCTCTGCATTGTATTTGTTAGGGTCACTTTCAGCAAAAGCTGGGCACATGGACCCACGTAGAGGGCAGCTGTACCTCGAGTCAACCCAGCAGGAAGAAAATTGCAAACATCATTGAAATGAAATTGGACGGATGGCTGCTTCCAAGGAGCACAGCCTCCCTCGTGCTTTCTGGGCACCTCCTGGCCCGAGGGAGTTGGCTGCCTGTCCTTCTCAGTCTCAAGGCTGCTTTCCTCTTCCAGGCTTCCACCGCCCGTACATACGGGCATTTTGGTCTGGAAGGAACATGCAGTAATCCACATCTTTGGTCTGAGGTTTTGAGAAGTTTCTGGTATACTGGGAATCTAAAAAGGCAAGTAGAGAAATCCAATGGAAAGACACAAAAACAGCTTTCTCCTTTAGCAATAACAAAGAGAAAGAGAGAGAGAGAGAAAAAGAAAGACGGAGGGAGAAGAGGGAATAAGATTCTTTTCTATTTTAACACTTTGGTGTATAATGGCACAGGAACAGTATCATCATTTTTCTGCCATGTATTCAGATGTGAAGGAACTCAGTGAATAATAATAGCTGCTGTCAAAGGTATTTAGATTTAAAAGGTCTTTATGTAAAAAAATGTTTTTTGTCAGGACTGATTTTTCTCTAAGAGAATCCCACCATCTCCTAGCAACCAACCTGGCCATCTTTCTGAATAGATGCTGCCTTTACAGTGGGTACGTAACCTTTACGGGGAGGCATTTGCAAATTTAGCAGTCAGGACTCATATGCATTCAAAGCAAGTTGTTAAACTGCTCCCAGAGCCAGGCTGGTGATAGAAGTCTCAGGGGGTCTCTTCTCTTGGCAAAACCGCACACATGTGAAGCGCACAATTTCCCCTTCCTCTGTTGCCCAAGTCTTGCATGTTCTGCAAACGAAAAACGGCCCTTTAAATAACCTGTTCACAGAACTTATATCTGTTTAAAAAGAAGAAAAACAAGCTAACCCGAGGAAATACAAAGGTTTTGCTTTGCAAATTACTCTACTAATGGAAAGATTATCTTTTGGCAAAGAAAATGTCTACCAGGAGTTCATTTATTAAAGAAGAAATTTTTTTGAGAAAGAGTAATAGAAACATTTGGAATTCAATCATCTCTTTTGCTACTGAGTTTTGATTATTTGTAATATATTAATGTCATTTTCATTCCTTCTTAATCTTTCAGTAGAGACTTTCTGAATATTCTGAAAACATTGGCTAAGGCTTCTAATTTTTCTCTGAGATAAATATTGTAATAACCAGATTACAAATGACTCATCTGAGACACAAAATTCACAGAAGGGCAGGAGCTAGAGACAGGAACAGAAATGGTTTCCTATGATTTCTAGTTTTATGAAAGTTGTGTTTACCAGCAGGATGGATATTATCGTTAAATATATGAAAAACATTATTCGTCTCAGGTAAATAATGCACCATCTTAGAATGAGGAGGTGGTTTTAAAAGAAGATCACTTAAATAACTAAAAAAATCTTTCAAATTGTACCAGCTGGAACCCAGCTTCCATACACGAAGGAGTCCTGGTGTAGAACAGAACCCACAAAGGCTCCATCCTCGTGGGGAGGCAGGAGCCATGTGCTCGGCTGTCTTCCTTCTGCCCAGGGTTAGCGTCAGGCTAGGTTGTGAGGTCCCCCAGTTTTCATCAGACCCTCCTTCCTCCCCTTTCTCTGCTGCCTCCCGCCTTTTCAGCTTTCAGTCTCTTTCCCTTTCAGACAGGAAGCCCTCAGATAATCAAATACCAGACTTGTTTATTTATTGAATCATTTTACTTGAGTTTTAATTTGCTTGCTTCCATATAACTATGCATTTTAAGTCTTTGCTCCCCAAGAATCTTGTTTCCCTTCCTAAAACATTTTCAGAAATCTCTAATAACAGTCCCTGAATTTTCTGGAGTGCTTTGCACCTTTAAAGGGGCTTTTGCTTTTTCTCACTGATCTTCACCATGACCCGGTGGAGGGACATGTTATTTTTTAGTAACACCACTATTTTTATACCTAAGGAAACTGAGCTTTGGAGAGATGACCTGACACCCTCAAGCTTGTAGAACTAGTAAATGACAGGGCCAGAGTTCAAGAGCATGGTGGCTCTGTAGACGTCATTTGCTCATCCCCCTTGATCACGATACTTCACAAAAAGAAGTTGGGAATGTACTTCGGGAAGCAAACATTAGCTGAAAACTAGCATTAAGTGTATAGAAAGATTGGATGGCCAAAAAAACCCAGATTTAGTCCTTTGAGGGCCACAAGGGTCATGGAGAAGGGTTACATCAAATATCCCCTTCCCAGGTAGGTGAGAAGGCTGACTGAGGACCACGAGGGGCAGAGAAGTCTGGGTGTCTTAGCCCAGTTTTGCAGAGGTCCTGGAGGTGGTCTTGGGACCAGCTTCACCAATAGCATCTCCAGGCTCAGAAGGGCACTGTGTCAGCTTTGACCGACAAAGCCAGAATCTCCCATCTCCAGGGGGCATTTCCCTGAAATCTGTGCTTTCACAAGCCCACCAGGCACGTCTTAGGCACTTTAAGTCCGAGCGCCCCTGCGCTAGACTACTGCTTCCAGGGGGCATTTCCCTGAAATCTGTGCTTTCACAAGCCCACCAGGCACGTCTTAGGCACTTTAAGTCCGAGCGCCCCTGCGCTAGACTACTGCTCTGTATAGTGTCTGACTAGGGGGCATTCATTCCTAATGTCTGAAATCTTAATCCAAAAAGACTCTTCCTGTCTTCTGTTCCAAGACTGCACATCTGTATGTAACTTCTTTTCCAGAAGAATTCGCTTTTTTTCGTACTTAAAATTGATGATCTCCCCTTAACAGATTTTCCAAAATACATCCATTTAACTCCCAGTCTTTTTATCTCCAATGTGAAGTTTCTAACAATGTGTTGAAATTTAACTAGTTTCCAGGTTTCTGGAAGGTATTTTTACCTTTCCAAAATAGGAATGTAAAGAGAGAGAATGGTTCTAGAATAAAAAAGAAAAGAATTACATAAAACAAATTAGAAAGGAACATGCTTTGAGATGTATGTTAGCCACTGACATTGATGTGTTCTGGGAGTGTCCCCACAGCTCCTGTGACACAGGACACAGACAGCCTCCGCGAGGCCACCATGACCCCAAAGCTGCTGCCTTTGGCTGCCTTCCTGTAAATACGAGACAGGGGATCAAGGCAGTTAAGAATCTACTTAATTTCGAGAAAAAATAGGATTGGTTATTTGTGGTTGTTAGGTTTACCTTCCACTCGCCCACCTAATTGCACGAGACATTCTCTTTTAATGAGCTATTTTGATATTCCAGAGAAGATTTTTAAGTTACGTCATTGTAAACTAGTTGTTCACAGCTATAGCATGAAATGGTGGGCTCACCGCCATTTACCAGCCAACCTTTATGTATGCTAAAGAATGACATCAGTCATTCCAACATTTAGAAGACATTGTATTTTATTCCTCTAAGCCTCTGTTTAATCTTGAACCACATGTACACACACATTCAGATAAACTGCCCTTTTAGCAAATGTGTCACAAAGCTTTGTTTCCAACTACAGAGGAAAATAAGACATCTATCACATTGTTTTCCTCCCACTTAAAAGCTTTTCCATTATACATTTGCACAGGGCAAAACCAGATGGGAGGGTTGTGTTACAGGAGGGCGGCCCCACCAAGCTCCGGGTGCTCAGCAAGGGCTTCTAGAGCACGTGAAATAAAGTTTCTGTTTCTGTCCAGAAATCCTCCACTCAGATAATTTAAAAAAAAATGGGTCAAGGAGCAACTGGAATACAGTTTTCAATATAATCAAAGAACATATAAATGAAGATTGAGCTTGAGCTATCGCTTAAGGAATTGTCTCTGCGTTGTTCTCTTTTAATAGCTCCATATGGAGACAATAAGGCCGTAAGACAGATATTCTGCCGCTAAGTTCCAGAGCTTGTCTCTGATCCCCATTCATTCTCTCTTGTCAAGTTACCCTTTTTGCTTTTAATTTATACTATTTGAATAAATACATTTTTCATTTCCACCTAGCTGAAGGTCTCTGAAAATAACAAAGCTACCAGCAAGAACTTCTTCTTAAATAGTTTTTCTCTTGACAAGAAGAGGAAATGTTGACTCAACTGGGTTAGGAAGATACAGAACTTTAAGTTACCTTTGTAGGGTACTTTTTATTTATTCCCTCTTCCCAGGATTCATTTCAGTTTTATTTTTAGTTTGCAGACAAGTATCTTTCTTCATCTTCATGTTGACCTGGCTGCTCTCTTTGGTGTTTTAAAATGTAGGCAGTTTTCCAGGTATTTTATGAAGAAAAGTTTTATGGTGGTTTTCAGGCCTTCTGAGACTTCTTTTAAAAAAATTTTCAAAATACTTAAGTGAAACACATTCATTGTAGTATTTGACCTGATGATTTGTCATCATCTAGGCAGTTTATAATTTTTACTTTTCT